AACTATGTGAACTGCGACCATTGTACATTTGCCATGTACATTTGCCATGTACCATGTACATTTGCGTTAAAACAGCTGAAATATAAATAAAAAATATTTTGAACCTAACACCTAAAGTATGTTGAGAGGAAAAAAGTCAAAAGCAAAATTGCAGGAGCAACTCATTATATGACTCATTGTGTTAGACTCACCCATGCGCGCAAATACGCAGAATAAAAAAAAAAAAACACTTTACTTGACTGAGTGCAGGTGGATATATATATAAAGACTATGTATGTAATATCCTATTAACTATAGTCGAAAAGGTAGGACTTTAATATGAAAAAGTGTGAAAAATGTAGTCACCAATCAGTAAATTTCAACTATAGCTGCCAGTGTTATTTTTTATCAATAATATATATATATATATATATATATATATATATATATATAAAACTGATGAAGTCAGGAAAAGAAAAAAAAATAGTTAAATGAAAAACAGAAAATCAAATGAATAACTATTTAATCGAGCTCACCTGATCAAAAGAATCATCATTATTCAGTTTTCCTCTCTGCGCATGCGTGAGTGTGTGTGTTCCACTGGTGTCCAGACTAATGATGCTCTCACTGCAAGGTCTGACGTATTTCAGATCACTCTTTCCGGAGTCAGTGGTTCTGCAAACCTCATAATTGTACACGTGCTGTAAAGTTCCTGTGCCGCCTACGTCTGCGTAAAGAGGCGGATAATACGGAATAACTGGAAGATTCGCTCCAGATTTATAAAACATCCGCTCGCGTCTCCATCTGTAGCATTTGACTGACAGTATGGCGATAATAGACACGATAAAGAGAAATGAAACCACAGCCAAAGCCAAGACTAGATAGAAAGTCAGGTTTTCGTTGTATTCCTTGTCGTGCGTAAAGTCAGTGAACTCTGAGAGCACTTCAGGGAAGCTGTCCGCCACCGCCACGTTAACAATGACTGTAGCTGATCGAGAGGGCTGTCCGTTGTCCTCCACTACAACAGTGAGTCTTTGTTTGACAGCATCTTTATCTGTCACTTGGCGTACAGTTCTTATTTCTCCATTCTGTGCGCCCACTTCAAACAGCGCCCTGTCTGTGGCTTTCTGCAGTTTATATGAGAGCCAGGCGTTCTGACCAGAGTCCACATCTACAGCCACCACTTTAGTCACCAGATAACCCACATCTGCCGATCGAGGCACTATTTCAGCCACCACAGAAACACCTGACTGGACCGGGTACAGAACCTGAGGCGCGTTGTCATTCTGGTCCTGAATGATGATTTTGACGCTCGCGTTGCTGCTGAGAGGAGGAGAGCCTCCGTCCTGCGCTTTTACGCGGAACTGGAAATCTTTGATCTGCTCGTAATCGAAAGATCGCACTGCATGTATGACTCCACTATCAGCACTAACGGACACTAACGAGGACACGGGCACTCCGTTGACTGACGAGTCCTCCAGTATGTAAGACACACGGGCATTCTGGTTAAAATCCGCGTCTCTGGCTCTGACTGTGAATATGGAAAGACCCGGTGTGTTGTTTTCTTGAACAGAGGCCTCATATGAGCTCTTCTCAAAGACGGGCGCGTTATCATTGACATCTGATATCTGTAAGGAGAGAGTGACGCTGCTGGAGAGAGAGGGCACGCCCTCATCAGCGCACGTCACACTGATGTTATACTCAGACTCTCTCTCTCGATCCAAATCATTATCAGTCACGATACTATAAAATCCATTAGAAGTCGTTTTGATTGTAAAAGGAATGTTTTCATTGACACTGCACTGAACCTGACCGTTACTGTCAGAATCCGGATCATTAACACTGATGATGGCAATCACAGTACTCTGTGGCGAGTCCTCCGGTATCGCATTAGATTTGGACATCACTGTGATGACCGGCGCATTATCATTTACATCAATCACGTCGACCATTATTTTACTAGAATCAGACAGCCCACCTTTATCTACAGCTTCTATATCAATTTGGTAATGCTTAAATCTTTCAAAGTCAATTTTTCCGACCAACGTCATCAATCCATTTTCATCGATATGAAAAATATCAGATACGCTGTCACTGTTTGCAATTAAATAACTGACTTCTCCATTTGTCCCTTTATCTGAATCAGAAGCGCTAACAGTGATGAGTGGCGTGCCGCTCGGTGAATTTTCTGTGATAATCGCTCTATATATAGGCTTTGTAAAAACTGGAGCATTATCGTTTACATCAAGCACTGTAATATGAATCTGAACCGTGCCTGATTTAGCTGGTTCCCCACCATCTATTGCGGTTAATATCAGAGACATGTTTTCCTGTTTTTCTCTGTCTAAAGGCTTTCTGAAGAATCATTTCAACCTTTTTACTCCCATCACTCTGACCATGAATTTTTAAATTAAAATGATCAGTAGGTTGCAGAAAATAACTCCGTAGGTCATTATCGCCGATGTCTGCATCTATCGCTTTCTCCAGCATGAATTTTGATCCTACCACTGCTGATTCGCTTATCTCAAATCTTCTCTCGTCTCTTTTGAAAATGGGAGAATTGTCATTTATGTCTGTAATTTCAATAGTTACCCTAAACAGTTCCATAGGATTATCGAGTATAATCTGTAAATGCAGCGCGCAAGGCGTTGTCTGTCCGCATAGCGCCTCTCGGTCTATTCTCTCTTTGATAAGGAGGACTCCTCTTTCTTTATTCAGCTCGATGTATTCAGCGCTGTCTCCTGTATAAATACGCGCTTTACCCGATTTCAGTCTCTTTAAATCTAAACCCAAATCCTGCGCTATGTTCCCGACTAAAGAGCCTTTCGCCATTTCTTCAGGAATGGAGTAACTGACCTGCCCGAGAGCTGAACTGAGAGAGAGAAACCAAATAAACAGCAGTACTTGCCGCGCCATTGTTCTGTCCGACATTTTGCTCCAGACCAAATAAACGCGGTCGCGTTGTATCCAAATCAGAGTCTTAAAGTGTTCAGGTCCAAAATAGAATAGGTCCAGTACTAGTGGGGAATTTCTAAGACAACGTCTAAACATAAATCCATAACCGAATGTTAAAAGCCGCGACGGTGTCCTCAGTGTTATGCCCGTGTGCGCTATGCACTCGCCTCAGTCTCTTTCTTCTTTATACTTGCATTTAGAGAGGGGGGTATTGCTGGAATTATGCGCTCTCAGACGTTTCTCTGACACACAGCGGCACACTGAGACCATTCTGAGTTACTGCAAAACGCATCTAAATTATTTAAAAAAATGCATACACTCAAAATATATATGCAACGAGAAATATAAATAAAACAAAATTAAAACCTGAATTTATATTTGTGTAAAATAAAGAAAATAACCTAAATTAGCCAAATGATTGTTTTGTAACGAAATCTGTCCAGCAATCCCCGTAGTATTTGTTTGGTAATAGGTAGGCTACTGGACCGTTTGATTAAATAATCTCATTCTCAAATACAAACAAAACGAATTCAGCAATACAGTACAAATGATACAGTAACAGACGTCAACATATCATTTATAAATAGTCTTTGCAATGTCACTGGACATCTGCTTTGAGACAAGAGCTTGAATGCAGACAATACATCGATTCAGCACCATGGACAGCGAAACGAAAGCGACATATTCATTCAGAGCACTGATAGCTCCTCCACTACTCGGTGGATTCTGGAAGCTGTTAATTAATAATAATAATAATATATTAAAAAAATATAAAAAGTTAATTTCGTTATAAATACAGAGTGTTTACTCCTTAGGCACTTTCTCTGATTTCTCTGAACGAAAAAAGGACATTGCAATGGAAAAAAAGACAAAAATTTAACAACCACTACACAGAAAAAGTAAACCTCACCTTTTGAGAATCCTCAATGTTTAGTCTCTCCCTTTGCGCATGCGTGAGAGTCTGTGTTCCACTGGTGTCCAGACTAATGATGCTCTCACTGCAAGGTCTTGCGTATTTCAGATCACTCTTTCTGGAGTCAGTGGTTCTGCAAACCTCATAATTGTACACGTGCTGTAAAGTTCCTGTGCCGCCTACGTCTGCGTAAAGAGGCGGATAATACGGAATAACTGGAAGATTGGCTCCAGATTTATAAAACATCCGCTCGCGTCTCCATCTGTAGCATTTGACTGACAGTATGGCGATGATAGACACGATAAAGAGAAATGAAACCACAGCCAAAGCCAAGACTAGATAGAAAGTCAGGTTTTCGTTGTATTCCTTGTCGTGCGTAAAGTCAGTGAACTCCGAGAGCACTTCAGGGAAGCTGTCCGCCACCGCCACGTTAACAATGACTGTAGCTGATCGAGAGGGCTGTCCGTTGTCCTCCACTACAACAGTGAGTCTTTGTTTGACAGCATCTTTATCTGTCACTTGGCGTACAGTTCTTATTTCTCCATTCTGTGCGCCCACTTCAAACAGCGCCCTGTCTGTGGCTTTCTGCAGTTTATATGAGAGCCAGGCGTTCTGACCAGAGTCCACATCTACAGCCACCACTTTAGTCACCAGATAACCCACATCTGCCGATCGAGGCACTATTTCAGCCACCACAGAAACACCTGACTGGACCGGGTACAGAACCTGAGGCGCGTTGTCATTCTGGTCCTGAATGATGATTTTGACGCTCGCGTTGCTGCTGAGAGGAGGAGAGCCTCCGTCCTGCGCTTTTACGCGGAACTGGAAATCTTTGATCTGCTCGTAATCGAAAGATCGCACTGCATGTATGACTCCACTATCAGCACTAACGGACACTAACGAGGACACGGGCACTCCGTTAACCGACGAGTCCTCCAGTATGTAAGACACACGGGCATTCTGGTTAAAATCCGCGTCTCTGGCTCTGACTGTGAATATGGAAAGACCCGGTGTGTTGTTTTCTTGAACAGAGGCCTCATATGAGCTCTTCTCAAAGACGGGCGCGTTATCATTGACATCTGATATCTGTAAGGAGAGAGTGACGCTGCTGGAGAGAGAGGGCACGCCCTCATCAGCGCACGTCACACTGATGTTATACTCAGACTCTCTCTCTCGATCTAAATCACCGTCTGTCACTAGACTGAAGAAATTATTCCCTGTTGATTTTAGCATAAAAGGAATGTCTTTATCAAATTGTGCACGTAATCTTTCCATTTTCACTGGTGTCGAGGTCTTGGACAGTTAATATTGCCACAACAGTTCCATGTTTAGAATCTTCAGATACACTATTAGTTCTCGACATAATGTTTATTGCAGGTGTGTTATCATTAACGTCAGTGACGTCGATAATAACTTTACAAGAATCCGAATGTCCACCTTGGTCTTTTGCTTGGACATCAATTCGATAAACTTTGTTTTTTTCATAATCCACTTTACCAACTAATATCACGACTCCAGTGGTTTCGTCTACCTTAAACAAATCATGTGCACCATCAGAAGAAATGGAAAATTTAACCATGCCATTAGAGCCCAGATCAGCATCAGAAGCACTGACTGTGGTTAAAACAGTGCCCGATGGTGCATTCTCTGCTATACTCGCTCTATATGCTGCTTGACCGCAAACGGGTTCATTGTCGTTGGCGTCAAGAACTGTAATTTGTATCTGCATTGTTCCTGTCAAATGCGGATCTCCACCATCCTTTGCTGTCATTAAAAGTGTGATATGATCTTGCTTCTCTCTATCCAATGGCTTCTGTAATATCATTTCGACAGCTTTTTCACCATCAGGTTGATTGTGCAGTTTTAAAGTAAAAAAATCGTTCGTACTAAGAGTGTAATCTTGAAGATTATTGAGGCCAACATCTAGATCATTCGCTCTCTCTAAGACAAACCGAGCCCCCGTTTTTGCCATTTCATTTATGTCAAACTTAATTTCATTGTTTTTAAAGACTGGCGCATTATCGTTGATATCTGTAATCTCTACTGTGATCGAATAAAATTCCATCGGGTTTTCCAGAATAATCTGTAAATGCAGCGCGCAAGGCGTTGTCTGTCCGCATAGCGCCTCTCGGTCTATTCTCTCTTTGATAAGGAGGACTCCTCTTTCTTTATTCAGCTCGATGTATTCAGCGCTGTCTCCTGTATAAATACGCGCTTTACCCGATTTCAGTCTCTTTAAATCTAAACCCAAATCCTGCGCTATGTTCCCGACTAAAGAGCCTTTCGCCATTTCTTCAGGAATGGAGTAACTGACCTGCCCGAGAGCTGAACTGAGAGAGAGAAACCAAATAAACAGCAGTACTTGCCGCGCCATTGTTCTGTCCGACATTTTGCAGAAGATCACGGGATGAAGATTAAGACAGAAAGCAAAGAAATCAATCCAAAATGCTGGAGGAGATCATGAATATATCCAAAGTGAAAAGAACAAGAAAAGTCTGTAATCCAAGAGAATTGTATTAAATACAGTATCTCCGTGATTGTCCTTCTCTCTCCTCTTCAGACTGCGCTCTCAGCTTCTGTCTCTCTCTCTAATAATATGGAGATGATGGGGGTGGAACTGCAGCAGATCTGCTCTATAAACTGACAGATTGACCAACAGCGGCACTATGAGTCCAGTCTGATGAACTACAGAAAATTTTTAAATTATTAAACTTTTATTTCAGTGTCAGATACCCGAGAAAAGCAGTTTACTAAAAAAGTTCTAACGTATAGGAAAGCACATATCAATACATGTCCATGAAATACAACGATTGTATGAGTTTGTAGAAATAAAGACTGAAGAAAAAATAATTGGACAAATATATTTCGTGTTTGCTCAAAGTTTTGCTGACGCCATATCAGTATATGAGCACTGAACAGACAGCATGCATACATACCTAAACAAATATACATATAAGAAATATCCAGTCAGAAAGGATATAAGTTTAACGATGTCTGAACCGGAGGAGAGACCAATAGGATGATGAAAAACTCGAAAACATTATTAGCTGTAAAGAGATGCAAAATAATATATGTAAATGACCGCGTCGCCGCGATTCAGGACCATGGCCAGGGGAGCGAATGCAAACGCTGGATATTGTTTCTCACTTCTTGACAGAAACAAGTTAAAATCAAGCGGGGATTTTTTTTTCAACGGCAAAAATATTAAAAAAATGAATAACTTTGAATGACACATAATAATGTTAACAATTGTTAATTGATATTTCATTGGCATCGTACCAAATACTGCAGGACTTCAGCTGAAAATAAATTTACAACTAAACGCACGAAAAAGGAATGAGAAAGCAAGTTCCACTTAACATAAAAAATCACATGTATAAGCTGAAAAAATGTAGCACTAATGTCCTTATGTGGCCGTACAGGAAAGATGAACAACTTACAACAAAACAAGTTGAACAGACTATAATAAAAACGGATGAAACAGCAGATGATTGTTGCTATTTTCTGCTAAATATTTTAAACATTTCTCAAAACTGTAGAGACACTTAATTTCATAAAAACAGTCAGCGACCGAGTCAACAGTTCAAGCAAAAAATTTCAATAATAGGACACAAAATAGCACTCAAATAAGTTTTTAAATAATTCTCACCTGATCACCACAATCATCAAAGGTCAGTTTCTCCCTTTGCGCATGCGTGAGTGTGTGTGTTCCACTGGTGTCCAGACTAATGATGCTCTCACTGCAAGGTCTGACGTATTTCAGATCACTCTTTCTGGAGTCAGTGGTTCTGCAAACCTCATAATTGTACACGTGCTGTAAAGTTCCTGTGCCGCCTACGTCTGCGTAAAGAGGCGGATAATACGGAATAACTGGAAGATTCGCTCCAGATTTATAAAACATCCGCTCGCGTCTCCATCTGTAGCATTTGACTGACAGTATGGCGATGATAGACACGATAAAGAGAAATGAAACCACAGCCAAAGCCAAGACTAGATAGAAAGTCAGGTTTTCGTTGTATTCCTTGTCGTGCGTAAAGTCAGTGAACTCCGAGAGCACTTCAGGCAAGCTGTCCGCCACCGCCACGTTAACAATGACTGTAGCTGATCGAGAGGGCTGTCCGTTGTCCTCCACTACAACAGTGAGTCTTTGTTTGACAGCATCTTTATCTGTCACTTGGCGTACAGTTCTTATTTCTCCATTCTGTGCGCCCACTTCAAACAGCGGGCCTGTCTGTGGCTTTCTGCAGTTTATATGAGAGCCAGGCGTTCTGACCAGAGTCCACATCTACAGCCACCACTTTTAGTCACCAGATAACCCACATCTGCCGATCGAGGCACTATTTCAGCCACCACAGAAACACCTGACTGGACCGGTACAGAACCTGAGGCGCCGTTGTCATTCTGGTCCTGAATGATGATTTTGACGCTCGCGTTGCTGCTGAGAGGAGGAGAGCCTCCGTCCTGCGCTTTTACGCGGAACTGGAAATCTTTGATCTGCTCGTAATCGAAAGATCGCACTGCATGTATGACTCCACTATCAGCACTAACGGACACTAACGAGGACACAGGCACTCCGTTAACCGACGAGTCCTCCAGTATGTAAGACACACGGGCATTCTGGTTAAAATCTGCGTCTCTGGCTCTGAACTGTGAATATGGAAAACCCGGTGTGTTGTTTTCTTGAACAGAGGCATCATATGAGCTCCTCTCAAAGACGGGCGCGTTATCATTGACATCTGATATCTGTAAGGAGAGAGTGACGCTGCTGGAGAGAGAGGGCACGCCCTCATCAGCGCACGT